CACTCACTGTGCGCCATATTAAAATAATTGGGCATGCCTGGGTACCATATGCTCTTCTTTCCTTTTAAAAGAAAAGATTTTTTTCCCTCAAAAAATTTGGGGCACTACGCGAGTGAACGTATATATACGTTTGGACCGTTTAAGGGTTAATATAATCACTCCCAAAGATAGGACCTCTTCCTTAGATCAAGAGCCCTTCACTGGTATCAAGGCACCTTCCTCAAGGGGCCGAGTGACAGTATATAAAGCCTCAAACACCTCTAACTCGTACAGTACTTTGCATTTTCCTAACCACTATCTCTTTAAAAAATGGAACAATGACTATTAGAATAACAGGGTAGCACTAAATCTAATGGGGTTTTACAGTACCTTGGAAATTGGAGGTAATCACATCTGAGACATGGAAGGGAAGGACAGCTCCAATTCCTTGAATCTAGAACCCTTCCTCAGCCTCGAGCTATACCCACTTTAGCATCTTTTAGTGTATATAATCTAAATCTAGACTCATCAAAATGAGGACAGTGCGTGCAACCTCCATGGCAGTTTCTCAAGCAGTTGGCCACAGTACCTGGAATTTACCTGGAGAGAGTTCCGGGGGTCAACGCCCCCGCAGCCCCGTCTGTGACCAGGCCTCCTGGTAGATCAGTGCCTGATCAACCAGGCTATTACTGCTGACCCATGAGGTTCATGAGATGATGACAACTTTGTTTCAGTTACAATTCTGTCTGGGTTACTAACCTGAATGGCTAGCAATCCAGGATAACACAAACCCCCACAAGCCATCTGGAACTGTTGGTCTTATCTCCACTGGGGGGCCTATAATACTTTGCCCCAGGATGCAACCCACAGTAACTGACTAACACTGAGGTACCTACTTACTGCTAGGCTACACCACAAACTGGAGACCACCTGGTCCCTGGACCCATTATGTACCTCTGTAATTCTTTGATTAACACCCACAGGATGGGTATGGGGTGTATAATAAATATGTTAAACTATGGGGTGTATAATAAATATGTTAAACTATGGGGTGTATAATAAATATGTTAAACTATGGGGTGTATAATAAATATGTTAAACTAACTTAAATACCAGGTAAACTAGCAAAGAAACACTGCTCTACCAAGTCATTCCTGGACAAGTGGACCAGCAAACACACTCACCTCTTTGATTTTGCTGGAAGCTGTAACTGATATAGGGGTTGATTTTTTTGCCTAAAAAGAATATCTTAAACTTTGTCTTCATTATAGGCCTTAAGTTATGATCATAGACAGTAAAAGAAATATGTTTAACCTTACTATTTTCAAGTGGTTAATTGTTTTTTTTTTTTATTAACACATCGGCCATTTCCCACCAAGGTAGGGTGGCTTGAAAAAGAAAAACTTTCATCATCATTCACTCCATCACTCCTTCAGTGCCGGCACTGCATTTCCCATCTCCAGGAATCAAGTCCAGCCTGCCGGTTTACCTGAATCCCTTCATAAATGTTACCTTGCTTACTCTCCAACAGCACGTCAAGTCCTAAAACCCATTTGTCTCCATTTGCTCCTAACACACCCATGTATGCTTGCTGGAAGTCCAAGCCCCTCACACACAAAACCTCCTTTACCCCCTCCTTCCAACCTTTCCTAGGCCGACCCCTACCAAAGGGTAGCAAATTACTTTTTAAATATTACAGCAACTGCTAAGGAAATGTCATTAAGAAAATATATTCTCATCATTGCACTATTAATATCAATTGAGAAAGCAGCACTCTGTACATACGTCAGTAGTGTACAGTGCGTATACATATGTATTCCAGTAACAATTAGTCATGTGATCATGCTCAAGTCTAAGACGCTACCTGCACGAGTACCCTCGGTCTAACACTGGCTGCGGTGCTAGCAGAACTACAGTGGCAGGCAGAGACCCATCTCCGATAAACCCATAACAAGCCACGTATATTTCATCACTGCTACCCAATATCACTCATCCAAACCCATCTCAACAAATGGTAGTAGCGTTGGGATGCACGAATGGTCTTATTTTTTTGACACTGATCATCTCCCAGCAAGGAAGGGTGACCCAAATTAGGCAAAATGTTTACCATCACTCGTTCAATAGCTTTTTTGCCAAAAGTGTCCTGACACCTCAGTTTAAATGACTTTGAAGCTACATCTCTCTCCACCCTTATGAGGGAATGTTAACTCTTTCAAGGTCCGTGCCGTAGATCTACGGCTTTACACTGAGGGTCCAAACCGTAGATCTACGCCATGAGCTCAGCTCACTCTGATAAGCTGTGAGCAGTAAATTTGGGCCTAGATATGAGAGAATACATCTATGTGGTATGTGTGCACCACATAAAACAAATCCTGCAACGCAGAGTGCATAATGAGAGAAAGAAAACTGAGACCGTAATTTTCGATTAAAACAGCGACTTTGCAGTGTTTTTTCTTATGTTTTTTACAGTTGTATTTGCGATTTCTTGGTCTCATTTGATAGAATGGAAGATATATTACAGAAATAGAGATGATTTTGATTGGTTTAAGTACTGAAAATGGCTTGAAACTGAGCTCAAAGTAGCAGAAATTTAAAATTTTTGCCGATGTTCAAGAGTAAACAGATGACCTCACATGTCTAATACACGCCAGCTGGTGGGTCTAAAATATGTTCACAAATGTGCTGAAATTATATATACAATTATTACAATATTGGATGACAGTAAATCTTCTATTTTTTGGTTTGAATAAAAATCAAAATGGAATTCATATGTAAAGCCTGAAAACATAACTAATGAACAGAGGAAATGTTAGTTTAGTGCCAGAAATGCCTACATTGTTTATTCTGGATCCTATTTTGAAATTGGAATATTTTGAACTTTGCACTAAATTGGCCAAATTACCAATTTCCAATCACTTTATTTTGTAGTTGAAATAGTTTAGTTGGCAATTTCTTGTGCTCAATCGAGAGAATAGAAGTAATCCTAATGAAATAGCTAAGAATTTGGTCGACTGGAATAAGGTAATTGGCCTAAAATGGGAGTCAAAGGCGGCAAAATAGCTGATGCGTAAGTATCACTGACACATCAAAATTCATGAGAGCATAATTTCGTCAGTTTTCCATCAAATTTCGTACTTTTTGTTTCACTACCTTCAGAAAAAGATTCTCTACCATTTCATAAGGAAAAATAACAAAATTATTTTTTGAAAATTCTTGGACACTGGTGCACATTTTGAAATTTGGCCTCTGGACCCTGAAAGGGTTAAGAATTTGCCTCACTGCTTAATAATTTACAGGATTTGCATACCACTCCCAAAAGCAATTGTTTAAGACTAGGGAGCTGAACACTTCTCCAGGCTGAGGGACTGACCACCTCAAAAACTATTCCTCCAAGGTTAAAAGACTGATTACACCACCTTTACTTCGTTACTATGCCTGCTGCCTCTGAATTAGACTGAAGAAGCCTACTGTGTACGCAAAATATTTCAATCAACACTAACAATACCCAAGTGTTACACGTGTCTGTAGTAATAATAATGAAAAAAAAACTTGGACTCCGTGTCATAGCTGGAGAATGACTTATCAGCTTGAAATTTTCACCAGTGGTGTGGTGGCTTGAGTACTAAACTCATGCTGCTATTGGCTAGTAAACTGCCCATTTGCAATATGAAGTCCCTCAAATCAGAGCAAGGCACTGAGGCGAGAAGAATTTTGTTTAATACAAACTTAGTCATTACTCACAAAATAAAACCGTTTTGAAAAAATCACGTAACGGGTGGGATTTGAAACACAGAAGGCAAGTCCTAAACTCACCTGCTTTGAGGCCCACCCATTCCTTGATTTGCTTGCAATCGTGTCATTGCAATTTCATGAGTCGCTATGTGTAATGCTTTCAACTGTCATTAGAGTAATGCTGGAGCAACAATTTGAACTAACAGCAACTGGTACAATATCTGATTTTTAACCCGTAAACTGTCCAAACACAGATCTACGTTTACATGCATAGCTCTCCAACCTTTATTTTCTCCATTTGAAAGCAAGTAAAAAAAGTAGTTCTACGTTCAGAGCGCTATGCGAGTGACCGTAGATCTACGTTTGGACTAAAAGTTTAAGGGTTAACTGTGATCTTTGAAAAGCACCTCAACATTAAATATTTATGGTAAATACTGTCATAAGCTGACAGCAGGAAATAATGACACTGGTAGCAGGGGTTAGAGTTTTTAAATAAAAAGATTCCCCTACTACCCATGTATTTCCAGTGAACGTTATGTTTTAACACGCAATAACAACAATGTTATCACTGCAAAATGGAGTTGCACTGTATTAATTACACGTACAGTGGAACCTTAGTATACAACCAGCTCCCTACTTGAACAAAGCTCAGCACTCGACCAAACAAATACAACCTGCCAGAACTTCGCTGTAAACTATTTTGTGTATTTTCGCATTTTTTTTTTTGTATTATTTGTATAAATAAGTCACCATGAGGCCTACGACGATTAGTGATAACAGCCAACCAAACAGAAAATTGGTTGGGAAAAACTTGTTAAATACTCAAATGGAGTGGCACATGAACAGCCTTCTGGAATGAATTAAAGCCACATATTAAAGAGCATATGCCATTTTATGGAAAGACGTCCCACAGTAAATGAGTTTTGGCTATGTGAAAATACCAAGGTCATGTGCCTCCCTCAAAATACACTCTTCAAACTTCCAATCTATGGGGGAAAAAGTTACAGAATACCTAATAAAAACATTTCTGAAAAAAAAATCAACCCCTACACAAATTTTTAGCAGAACCTCTTTTAAATGCATGTTATTTGTGATCTGTTCCAACTACAGTATTGCGATTTTTTATTCTCCGATTTTTTTTTTGATAGTCCACTTATCCTAAAATGACCCTGTACCCAAATACTCACAAACTATCAAGTTTCTACCATATACAGCATGCCAGTGCAAAATACAAGGCACACACATTTTGGCCTCAAACAAGCCAGCAGGTAAAAGCACACAGTGCTTACCTCTGGAAGATGGTGGAGACTCGGGAGATAGGATGCCAGATGATGAGCAGGGGCTGAAGGAATGACGGGGAGAATGATGTGGAGACACTGAAAAGGAAGGCAGGAATGATAAGAGGTCAGCCCCAATAACAACTACAGTGAGTACTTGATTTACAAATGCTTTGAGAATCTTCTGTACTGTGTATTATATCATTATTATACACAATTCAGGAGGTCCCCAATATGCTCATAAGTTGAAGACTTCCTGTATTATGAGTATTATACACAATTCAGGTCCCCAATATGTTTGTAAGTCGAGGACTTAATATATATGCAATATCACAAAATGGATCACAGGCTGTCATTTCAGTAAAAAAAAAAAAAAAAAAAAAGGCCATCTCCCACCAAGGTAAGGTGACCCGAAAAAGAATAATACACTTCACAAAAAAAAAAATTAAGCTCAGTTTGGCATAACTACAGTAAACCGACAATTAACACTGGTTCCTTTACCAAGTTTTCTCCATTACACTATTGCAAAATTGCGGCATATTTTAAACTAACACTTCGTAAAATTCAGCTAACATGATTCAACTTCTGGGCAGCGTGGGGAAAAAATTGGAGCACCACTCTAGGCAGCGAGGGATTTTTCTTCCCCCCTCTCTCTGTGTAATCAGCTCTCGGGCAGCCAGTCTGTGGGTCAGTCCACTGCCTTCGCAGGGAAGGCCTAGCTTCCTTCCCTGCCACTACGGTCCCGGTGTTCAATACATACACACCCCGTATAATAACTAGATCTGTGTTTGTGAAATTTACGATAATAATTCATTCCAGAAGGCTGTTCGGGTGCTGTTACCGAACGAATTAGTCCGTTTCAGACCCCCAAAAATACACTTAAAGAAGCACTTACAAAAATACACTTACATAATTGTTCGTGTTGGGAGCTGATCGTAAGTCGGGGGTCCACTGTACATAACGACAATGAACAATTACATTATCATATTTATTTTTGTCCTAGGTAATAGGTTAGTAGACAGCAATCGCCCAGGGAGATACTACCGTCCTGCCAAGTGAGTGTAAAACAAAAGCGTTTGTTTTACATGATGGTAGGATTGCTGGTATCTTTTTTCTGTCTCATAAACATGCAAGATTTCAGGTATGTCTTGCTACTTCTACTTACACTTAGGTCACACTACACATGCATGTACAAGCATATATATACACATTCCTCTAGGTTTTCATCCATTTTCTTACTAGTTCTTGTTTTTGTTTATTTCCCTAAGCCTTGTGTGTTGTAAGAGCCAACTAAAATGCCGGGAGCAAGGAGATAGTAACCCCTTCTCCTGTATATATTACTAAATTTAAAAGGAGAAACTTTTGTTTTTCCTTTTGGGCCACCCCGCCTCGATGGGATACGACCAGCGCGTTGAACGATTTTCTTTTGTAAGATTTGAAGACCTTAAAAAAAAAAGTTTGGCTTTTTTGGGAATCCCAGGAACGTAACCCTATTTTTCCCATGAGTTCAATTTGTCTAACATGGATTCATCTAACACTGCATTTTCAGGAATGTAACTACTGTGGTAACTGACGGTCTCCTGTATAACTGAAGGTGGAGGCCACCTCATGAACAGTCCACTTTTTTCTATTCAATAGACTTGACTAACTCTTTTCTATCTGTTTTGTCCCTCTACCATTGTTATCCAAACTCCAATTCTTTATATATATATATATTCTCTACATAGATTCTTTTTCTCCTACTTAATATTTTTCTTTCTTAGGCTAACGCCTAAAAAATGCCAGTGTGACTATCCCTAAGGTTTACATTTAGTTATTTTACCCAAACTTCATGGGAAAGTGGAGAAGAATCTTTCCTCTATAAGCCATGTGTGTCGTAAGAAGAGACTAAAATGCCGGGAGCAAGAGGCTTGTAACCCCTTCCGTGTAAATTACTAAATGTAAAAATGAAAAATTTTGCTTCTTTTTTTTGGGTCACACTGCCTTGGTGGGAGACAGCCAATGTGTCAAAAAAAAAAAAAATTACCCAAAATGCTCTGCAAAACCAAGGGGTTTTCAATGTACATTAGTTATACCTCTGGGCACAACTAAGACAAAGCAGGAGAGCAGTTGCTCCTCCTGAGCATATTTGGGGCCTGTCTGACCCTCGTTTTTCAACTAATATAGCCTTCCTGATTTCATCTGAACTTTGAAACAATTAACCCGTAAACGGTCCAAGCAGATCTACGTTCACATGTGTACTGCTACAAAAGTAGATCTAAGTTTTTTTTACATATTTTCAAATATAACAAAAAACAAAAAGTACATCAAAGTTTTTTTTTACACATTTTCAAATGTAGAAAAGCAAAAAGATGATCTACTTTTTTTACATACTTTCAAATGTTGAAAAAACGTATATATACGTTTGGACCGTTTACGGGTTAAAAATAAATGTCTGGAGTTTTTGATCAATTGTACAGTACAAAAAAGACTGGAATGTCACCAGCTGAACCTCCTGGCCCAATGTACTGATATCCTTTTTAAGGAAATTGTATGCTTCCTAACTGTAATTAAGTTTTAAGTAAATATTTGCATGGCTAAAAATTACTGACTGATTGCCTTGTACAATAACAGACAATTTTGCTTTGTTTCTGAGCTACAATTTATGGAAAATTTTCATTTCGACACTATCAAACATTAGAAGACTTTTAAAATCAACAACACAGAAATTTTCAGGAATGCAACTCATTCTGGTTTCTCAAGTCAGTCCCTGATCAGCCAGGTTGTGGTGCTTATGATGGACTTCATGCAGCTAGCACTAACAGCCTGGGTGATAAGACCATCAACCAGGAACGTAGTCTGGGACTGGGCTGTGACGGCATCAACCCTCTGAACACACACCAGGTAGACTTCTGGTAAGTAGGTACTTCATCAGGTACTTGTTGCTACAGAAGCATTTAACCAAGTTATACAGCCATTGCTCGCTCAGTACTCGGTACTCTGTGTTTACTCACAGGCTCCATAGAATCCGCAGCACCACAATATCGTAACATATTACTCTTAGGTAGGTAATAGGTTGGTAGACAGCAACCACCCAGGGAAGTACTACCGTCCTGCCAGATGACTGTGAAACAGAAACCTGTAACTGTTTTGCATGATGGTAGGATTGCTGGAGTCTTTTTCTGTCTCATAAACACGCTAGATAACAGGGATATCTTGCTACTCCAACTTACACTTTGGTCACACTTCACAGACATGCACATACATATATATATACATACATCTAGGTTTTTCTCCTTTTTCTACATAGCTCTTGTTCTTCTTTATTTCTTCTATTGTCCATGGGGAAGTGGAAAAGAATCTTTCCTCCATAAGCCATGCGTGTCGTATGAGGCGACTAAAATGCCGGGAGCAATGGGCTAGTAACCCCTTCTCCTGTAGACATTTACTAAAAAAGAGAAGAAGAAAAACTTTATAAAACTGGGATGCTTAAATGTGCGTGGATGTAGTGCGGATGACAAGAAACAGATGATTGCTGATGTTATGAATGAAAAGAAGTTGGATGTCCTGGCCCTAAGCAAAACAAAGCTGAAGGGGGTAGGGGAGTTTTGGTGGGGGAAATAAATGGGATTAAATCTGGAGTATCTGAGAGAGTTAGAGCAAAGGAAGGGGTAGCAGTAATGTTGAATGATCAGTTTATGGAAGGAGAAAAGAGAATATGAATGTGCAAATGCAAGAATTATGTGGATTAAAGTAAAGGTTGGATGCAGAAGTGGGTCATAATAAGCGTGTATGCACCTGGAGAAGAGAGGAATGCAGAGGAGAGAGAGAGATTTTGGGAGATGTTAAGTGAATGTATAGGACCTTTGAACCAAGTGAGAGAGTAATTGTGGTAGGGGACCTGAATGCTAAAGTAGGAGAAACTTTTAGAGAGGGTGTGGTAGGTAAGTTTGGGGTGCCAGGTGTAAATGATAATGGGAGCCCTTTGATTGAACTTTGTATAGAAAGGGTTTAGTTATAGGTAATACATATTTTAAGAAAAAGAGGATAAATAAGTATACAAGATATGATATAGGGTGAAATGACAGTAGTTTGTTGGATTATGTATTGGTAGATAAAAGACTGTTGAGTAGACTTCAGGATGTACATGTTTATAGAGGGGCCACAGATATATCAGATCACTTTCTAGCTGTAGCTACACTGAGAGTAAAAGGTAGATGGGATACAAGGAGAATAGAAGCATCAGGGAAGAGAGAGGTGAAGGTTTATAAACTAAAAGAGGCAGCAGTTAGGGAAAGATATAAACAGCTATTGGAGGATAGATGGGCTAATGAGAGCATAGGCAATGGGGTCGAAGAGGTATGGGGTAGGTTTAAAAATGTAGTGTTAGTGTGTTCAGCAGAAGTTTGTGGCTACAGGAAAGTGGGTGCGGGAGGGAAGAGGAGCGATTGGTGGAATGATGATGTAAAGAGAGTAGTAAGGGAGAAAAAGTTAGCATATGAGAAGTTTTTACAAAGTAGAAGTGATGCAAGGAGGGAAGAGTATATGGAGAAAAAGAGAGAGGTTAAGAGAGTGGTGAAGCAATGTAAAAAGAGAGCAAATGAGAGAGTGGGTGAGATGTTATCAACAAATTTTGTTGAAAATAAGAAAAAGTTTTGGAGTGAGATTAACAAGTTAAGGAAGCCTAGAGAACAAATGGATTTGTCAGTTAAAGGACCTGCCTCGCATGGGCCAGTAGGCCTTCTGCAGTGTTCTTCCATTCTTATGTTAAATAGGAGAGGAGAGTTATTAAATGGAGAGTTAGAGGTATTGGGAAGATGGAGGGAATATTTTGAGGAATTGTTAAATGTTGATGAAGATAGGGAAGCTGTGATTTCGTGTATAGGGCAAGGAGGAATAACATCTTGTAGGAGTGAGGAAGAGCCAGTTGTGAGTGTGGGGGAAGTTCGTGAGGCAGTAGGTAAAATGAAAGGGGGTAAGGCAGCCGGGATTGATGGGATAAAGATAGAAATGTTAAAAGCAGGTGGGGATATAGTTTTGGAGTGGTTGGTGCAATTATTTAATAAATGTATGGAAGAGGGTAAGGTACCTAGGGAATGGCAGAGAGCATGCATAATCCCTTTGTATAAAGGCAAAGGGGACAAAAGAGAGTGCAAAAATTATAGGGGGATAAGTCTGTTGAGTATACCTGGTAAAGTGTATGGTAGAGTTATTATTGAAAGAATTAAAAGTAAGACTGAGAATAGGATAGCAGATGAACAAGGAGGCTTTAGGAAAGGTAGGGGGTGTGTGGACCAGGTGTTTACAGTGAAACATATAAGTGAACAGTATTTAGATAAGGCTAAAGAGGTCTTTTGGGCATTTATGGATTGGAAAAGGCGTATGACAGGGTGGATAGGGGGGCAATGTGGCAGATGTTGCAGGTGTATGGTGTAGGAGGTAGGTTACTGAAAGCAGTGAAGAGTTTTACGAGGATAGTGAAGCTCAAGTTAGAGTACATAGGAAAGAGGGAAATTATTTCCCAGTAAAAGTAGGCCTTAGACAGGGATGTGTGATGTCACCGTGGTTGTTTAATATATTTATAGATGGGGTTGTAAGAGAAGTAAATGCGAGGGTCTTGACAAGAGGCGTGGAGTTAAAAGATAAGGAATCACACAAAGTGGGAGTTGTCACAGTTGCTCTTTGCTGATGACACTGTGCTCTTGGGAGATTCTGAAGAGAAGTTGCAGAGATTGGTGGATGAATTTGGTAGGGTGTGCAAAAGAAGAAAATTAAAAGTGAATACAGGAAAGAGTAAGGTTATGAGGATAACAAAAATATTAGGTGATGAAAGATTGGATATCAGATTGGAGGGAGAGAGTATGGAGGAGGTGAATGTATTCAGATATTTGGAGTGGACGTGTCAGCGGATGGGTCTATGAAGGATGAGGTGAATCATAGAATTGATGAGGGGAAAAGGGTGAGTGGTGCACTTAGGAGTCTGTGGAGACAAAGAACTTTGTCCTTAGAGGCAAAGAGGGGAATGTATGAGAGTATAGTTTTACCAACACACTTATATGGGTGTGAAGCATGGGTGATGAATGTTGCAGTGAGGAGAAGGCTGGAGGCAGTGGAGATGTCATGTCTGAGGGCAATGTGTGGTGTGAATAAAATGCAGAGAATTCGTAGTTTGGAAGTTAGGAGGAGGTGCGGGATTACCAAAACTGTTGTCCAGAGGGCTGAGGAAGGGTTGTTGAGGTGGTTCGGACATGTAGAGAGAAAGGAGCGAAACAGAATGACTTCAAGAGTGTATCAGTCTGTAGTGGAAGGAAGGCGGGGTAGGGGTCGGCCTAGGAAAGGTTGGAGGGAGGGGGTAAAGGAGGTTTTGTGTGCGAGGGGCTTGGACTTCCAGCAGGCGTGCGTGAGCATGTTTGATAGGAGTGAATGGAGACGAATGGTTTTTAATACTTGACGTGCTGTTGGAGTGTGAGCAAAGTAACATTTATGAAGGGGTTCAGGGAAACCGGCAGGCCGGACTTGAGTCCTGGAGATGGGAAGTACAGTGCCTGCACTCTGAAGGAGGGGTGTTAATGTTGCAGTTTAAAAACTGTAGTGTAAAGCATCCTTCTGGCAAGACAGTGATGGAGTGAATGATGGTGAAAGTTTTTCTTTTTCGGGCCACCCTGCCTTGGTGGGAATCGGCCAGTGTGATAATAAAAATATAATTACTCTTAGAAAGCACAGAAAATCCTAGATTTAATGGACTTTGGAAGTATGGAACAAAATCTGCTGGGTTAATTGATCTGCAATCTATAGACAAACTGCATTCATCAAGGAAGTGACTTTTTGTTATAATCACCGCAAAATAATCTCATTTGTCCGTGCCACAATTTCAATGATTAGTCAACCACTACTCATTATTAGTTCAGTCAACGATTTACTGTACATTATCACTCACCATCATTAACCCTTAAACTGTCCAAACGTAGATCTACATTTACACACGTAGCGTTCCGACCTTGATTTTCCCCATTTGAAAGCATATAAAAAAAACGTAGATCTACGTTCGGAGCACTACGCAAGCGAAAACAGGTCTATGTTTGGACAGTTTAGGGGTTAAACTAACATTAAAACTGAACACTAGTAATACTCAATGTGCACAAGTTAGCAAACTATGAGTAAAACCTTAAAACATTGAATAGTTGAGTTAGGGAGGTATTGGCTAAAATATTAAATAATAATTATCGTACCTATAAAGAAGAGCTAAACCCATAGAGGTTATACAGCACCTAGGGAATAGGAGGCAATCAAGTCTGATCCAAGTGGAAGATAGATCCAAATCCCTGGATCAAGAGCCCTTCACCAGTATCAAGGCACCCCACTGAAAGATTTGGTTACATTAAGGACAAAATACAGATCATTAAATTTCACTGTAGTTACTATACATTCTACTTTCATTACTCCCCCGATTCTTACACTCTTGTAGCTAATGTATTGGATTTTTTTTTTTTTTTTTTTGCTTTTCCATAAATTCTGGAACCTCCAGATACTACAAAATTAATACACTTACTTGCAATTTGATCTAACTTGTTAATTAAAGATTTCCTGGAGTGTAATAATGCTGGATCGTCTAAATCTTTCCGTAACCATTCCGAATTATGAGGCTTCGCTTTGGGCGAGTCGAACAACCTGAAAGTACACAGCAAAAGTAAGACCATCATTTACCCAAGTATCTAATACAGTGGACCCCCGGTTTACGATATTATTTCATTCCAGAAGTATGTTCAGGTGCCAGTACTGAACGAATTTGTTCCCATAAGGTATACTGTGAATTAGATTAGTCAATTTCAGACCCCCAAACATACACGTACAAACGCACTTACATAAATACACTTACATAATGGGTCGCATTGGGAGCTGATCGTAAAGTGGGGGTCCATTGTATTCGCAACATTAGTTATGGTAACTACAAGCTGCTCCAGGTCTCGGCGATCAGACATCACAAATCACACAATAAATTCACTTCATATTCTATTCTTACTCTGTCAGCCACCACAACCACACAAGATATTTCTTGCTTTTTGTTGTGGACGAGTTCCAGGCTCTTCGTATCTACTTAATTTGTATTTCGAAGACTCCATGAAAATTTCATTACAAGAAGGCTATACGTATCATTATACACAATAGGATACATTTTAAAATTACCCTTTGCTAGTAGAGAATCTATGCCATATTTGCCTAGAAAATTCTTTTCAATTATATACACAGGATAGTGGTACAGGTCGGCCACCGCTAATCCGGCATCATTGGGACCTGTAGTGTTCCAGATTAGCAAGTGTGCCGGATTACAGAGTGGTTAGGTTAGAATACACTTAATTAACCTATCAACAGAGACTCTTTCTGCTACATCTTAATCATTTTCATCGCTGCTTTCTCCTCCACTGGCTTGCTGCTGCTGTGGATTTACAACCATCTGCACAATTTCTGAGTCAGTATAATGGTAAAATTTTAGTCAGTATAATAATGAAATTTGAAATCATGCTAGCTGAAATTAGTGCCGGATTACTGATGGAACCGGATAACTGATTGCCGGATTACTGATGGAACCGGATAACTGATTGCCGGATTAGCGTTGGCATGATGAATGACCTGTAATGTCTTGCCAAAAAAATAAATAGCTTCTTGCTCAGTATACTACATTATACAGTAGAGGGTATGTGATGCAAAATCTTATGGAAAATGAGAAATCATGGCTATATTCCAATGAGAAACGTATAGCATAATAGAGTGACAAATAAAGAATGAAATTAAATGAAAACAAAAGGCCATATATAGGAAACCAGGGAAAGTGAAAAGAAACCTAATCAAAATTGTAGATTACCTGGAGTTTACCTGGAGAGAGTTCCGGGGGTCAACGCCCCCGCGGCCCGGTCTGTGACCAGGCCTCCTGGTGGATCAGAGCCTGATCAACCAGGCTGTTGCTGCTGGCTGCACGCAAACCAACGTACGAACCACAGCCCGGCTGATCAGGAACTGACTTTAGGTGCTTGTCCAGTGCCAGCTTGAAGACTGCCAGGGGTCTGTTGGTAATCCCCCTTATGTGTGCTGGGAGGCAGTTGAACAGTCTCGGACCCCTGACACTTATTGTATGGTCTCTTAACGTGCTAGTGACACCCCTGCTTTTCATTGGGGGGATGTTGCATCGTCTGCCAAGTCTTTTGCTTTCGTAGTGAGGAATTTGTACTCCGGAAGTGGGAAGGACTGTGTAGTCACTTGGAAAAATGGGTATCGATGTTGTGGTTCAAAGGGTCACATGAACTGACATGTGTGAGTGTCTGTGGTTCAATCCCTGGCATGAGTGGAAACACTGGACCTGTTTTTTTTACACCTACTGTCTTTCTTCACCTAGCAGTAAATTAGGTACCTGGGTGTTAGTTACTGCTGTGGGTGGCATCCTTGGGGACAAGATTAACATAAGCTGCCATAAATTCTCTGCATAACCTGGGACTTTCTACATAGTATGTCAATGTCAGCTTGTATTACATATACAGCGGAACCTCAAATATCGAACTTTCTTCGGTCCAGAAGGCTGTTCGAGTGCCTTTACCGAATGAATTTATTCCCATCAGGAATAATGTAAATTAGATTAGTCCATTTCAGACCCTCAAAAATACACTTATAAAAGCACTTACAAAAATACACTTACATAATTGGTTGTGTTGGGAGCAGTTCAATTTTTGAGGTTCCACTGTACTTGTAGAAATAACAATTATTAAGTATAGTGGGGAAAAAGCATTGGTCGCCGTTGCCCAGTGGTGAGAGTAGCCGCTCTCATTGCTGAGGTCCAGGTAATAAACCCTGGAGATTAACATAGTGGGGAAAATATTGTACATTCTAAAAGTGATATACAATACAGTGGACCTCCGCTTAACGATCACCTCCCAATACGACCAATTATGTAAGTGTATTTATGGAAGTGCGTTTGTATGTGTATGTTTGGGGGTCTGAAATGGACTAATCTACTTCACAATATTCCTTATGGGAACAAATTCGGTCAGTACTGGCACCTGAACATACTTCTGGAATGAAATAATAGCGTAAGCCGGGGGTCCACTGTATTAATATTTTATGCTGCTTGTGAATCTCTCTAGCCTAAGTATACAATAGAACCCTTGTATCCTCTGATTCGGTATCCGTGGTTTCAGTTATCCTCTGCTTACTGTGGCCCAAAAATACCTCTTAATTTTGCATAATAATGGCCCTAAAGAACAAAAGTAGAGAAGTTGGCAGTTCTTCAAAGCCTAAGAGAACCCGTGAAGTGCCTCCCATCAGTGAAAAAGTTATAATTCTCCACTTGTGTGTAATTTATCAATTAAACTTTATAATAGGTATGTATAGAACTTACATACAGGGTTTGCTACTATCTACAGTTTTGGTATCCACAGTAGGTCCTCGGAACACATCCCCACAGATACGGGGGTCCTACTGTATATATGCAAAGTGTTTGGACAACCATAGTTGTAGGAATTAGCCGAGATGTTCAGGGTATGATACTATATCAACGAACTTAATGAAGGCTCAAACTTTCTTGTACCCGTGACAAGATGATCTTTGAACAAAGGAATTCCAAAACATGAAATCTCATTAACAATGCTTATTTTTCTATACAATAATGTAGATGGAACACCATGAGCATAGTCCTTCTCCTATAGCTACAACTACAGTGGACCCCCGCTTAACGATCACCTCCAAATGCGACCAATTATGTAAGTGTATTTATGTAAGTGCGTTTGTACGTGTATGTTTGGGGGTCTGAAATGGACTAATCTACTTCACAATATTCCTTATGGGAACAAATTCGGTCAGTACTGGCACCTGAACATACTACTGGAATGAAAAAAGTTCGTTAACCGGGGGTCCACTGTAATTACAAATTCATAATCTATTCTAGTATATATATGAGCATGTTAGATAGGAGTGAGTAGAAGCAAGTGGTTTTTATGTCAACATGCTGTTGGAGTGTTAGCATGGTAACATTTATGAAGGGATTCAGGGAAACTGGTTAACCAGACTTGAGTCCTGGAGGTGGAGAGTACAATGTCTGCACTCTGAAGGAGGGGTGGGAATATTCGCAGTTTGAACTGAGCGATGGTGGTAGTGTTTCTTCTTTCTGGGTCACCCTACATCGGTGAGAAACAATGTTAAAAAAAAATATACATGTGTATGTATACATATATACATACACACTCTTAAACAAAGAGACTGCAGATAAGATAAGGGTAGCCGATTAAAAAATTATCATTCGATTACATTTTTAGTCTTCTATATTGTTAACTTCTCTGTTAAAACCTAAGTATGAAATACTTAACAATTAATAACTTAAATTTCTTTCATTTTTTCATTCATAAAAATTTAATTTGGAATAATCAAATATATACTGCTCAGAGTATATTACCAATCAGTAATCTATATCTATTTCAAGTTATGATTATTTATTCCATAGCAACTTAGCTGTTTACTTAACTTGGATTAACAAGTTTTAAATAACTTAGAAGTAGTGTGCTACTTATAAGAACCCAGTGTGTTATAACCATCCTGGGAGGTACTACCATTATGTTACACAGGTGTGAAATGAAAGGCTGTTGAATATTTTGTACTCTGGCAAGATTGCTGACCTTTTATTTTGATCTCATGAATAAACCATACCACGGACTCTCTGACCGCGGGTTCAAATCCCGTCCGTGGTATGGTTTGTTTGTAATCGTGTCATTATGATTTCCTGAGTCATGTAATCTCATGAATATGCAAGAGCAAGAAGTGGAACAGAATTCCTCTTTTGTAAGCCATGCGTGTCGTAAGAGGCGACTAACATGCATTACTAAAGTTGAAAAGAGAAACTTTTTTCTTTTTGGGCCACCCTGTTTTGGTGGGATACGGCCAGTTTGTTGAAAAAATTAGAAGAATATGCAAGATGGCTGGTTAGTCTTACGAACTTCTACTTACATTCCTACACCTGACCCCTACAAGTCTCTCTCTTGCACACCTGCACTCCAACCCCCCACATACACACTGCCCACATACATACCACCCACACACCATCCACATACATACCACTCACCCTTATACCTGTTCAACTCTTCCACCCAGACAACTTGCACCAAAACCACCCACATGTTCCTGGAACCCACTCCCACACTCTTCCAAGCCACTCTTGCACACCTGCAATCCAACCCACACACACACACTGCCCACATACATAACACCCACACACTGTCCACATACATACCACTCACCCTCATACCTGTTCAACTCTTCCACCCAGACAACTTGCACTAAAACCACCCACATGTTCCTGGAACCCACTCCCACACTCCTCCAAGCCACTCTTTCACACCTGCAATCCAACTCACACACTGCCCACATACATACCACTCACCCTTATACCTGTTCAACTCTTTCACCCAGACAACTCACACCAAAACCACCCACATGTTCCTGGAACCCACTCCCACACTCCTCCAAGAAAGTCTTTCACACCTGCAATCCAACCCACACACCGCCCACATACATACCACTCACCCTCGTACCTGTTCAACTTTTCCACTCAGACAGCTCACCCCCCACACTACCTCCATCCCAACAGCTTACACCCACACACCTCCAGCTCACTAAGGCTACAATCTTCCACA